CCACTTGAACCCGACCTCGGAGACGGGACACTTCGGCAGATCAGTGGCAGGAATCGGTGTATCACTTTGGAGAAGCTTCGGGAGGTCGGAGTGATCTATTTGATTTCACCGGCTTCGGAGTGGCGGGATGACACTTCGGTTACTTCGGTACCAAGGCTCGTAAAATGAGGCGTAACAGTGGTCCCCCAAATCCGAGAATGAATGAATATTTATATTATACGTGGATTTGTTTTCCTGACCGAATCGCGGCATGGGGGTAGCTGAAACTTTGTAGAGCATGGGAAGAACGCAGAGCCGAGGTGATGAGCCAGTGGTACGCTCGCGTCGGGTACGTTAAAGCGTCATAAAGATCTTAGGGACTCGTCTTCACCGAAGCGTTGGCAGGAAGAGGGAGACGGCTCAAGCTTTGCAAAGCGTGGGAGGGGACGCAGCGACCGAGGCGATAGCAAACGGGGCGTTCGCATCGGGGTGCGTCCAAGCTTTGTAAAGTTGGAGGACTCGTTTCTCGCCGAAGCGTTGGCGAAAAAGGGGGGTCGACGCGTGGGGAGATGGCTCGAACTTCGTAAAGCATAGGAGGGAACGCAGCGCCCGAGGCGATTAGCCACTGGGGCGTTCGCATCGGTTGCGGTTAAGCTTTGTAAAGTTGGGGGAGGAGATCATCCGAGGCGACCCAGAAGTCCAATGATTTGACAACTGTTGCGTGTTTCCAAGGCGACAGTTGGGTACCACGCCCATTCCCCTAGAAGTCTGCTGCGGCCAGTAATTATTATTGACGGCTGTTGGTAACCGAGGCGACGCGTTTTAATTTAGCGTGAAAGCCACAGCGACATCTTGGGCGTAGATCAAATCTGGCGTTTCATTTCAACGGCTGGGATCGAGAATACAACGAACGGTTTAGATTGATCGTTTTTGAATTCAACGGTGGAGATTGGATTTGTCTTTCCTATAAAAGGTGAACTTTGGGGGCTTATCAGAGTTTCCACCTTTGCCATACGAAAAAACAAAATTTTCTCCCAAATTTCTGGCAATTTCCGGCGTTCTACAAGCAACTCCGGCGAGAGAGAGAGAGCGATATTTCCGGCGATCTTGCACCATTTCCGGCTAGGAAACACTTCCAAACCTGTAAGTTTCAGTACCCATTTAGACTCTAAAAATTTCTTAACGAATGGCCTCGAAAGGCAGTTCTGGTTTGGGTAGGAGTTTAGAAATAGTGAGGGTGGACGAACCCATTGTGGCGACCTCCTCAGAAATAGCCGGGGCCATAATGGGGGGGGGACATGTGGAAGCGACCAGATAGCCCTCCGGATACTTCTGTGCACTGGGGGGCGTCGGACTACCCATCAAAGTTGAGGGAGGCCGACCTTGGTAGACTTAGGACAGAATATGGGATCCCAGACAGTGTGGATCTAATTCTCCCAGAGCCGGAAGAGAGAGCTTGTTACCCGAGGCCGGGCTGCGTGGCCATTAGTGAGGCGATCCTTAGAGCCGGACTTAGGCTGCCTATTCACCCGTTCTTTAGGTTGGTGCTTAGGTCTTACGGGCTAGCCCCGACGCAGCTCAATCCGAACTCCTGGAGCCAAATGGTGGGCTCCTGGATGTTGTGGAAAGAGGCGTCGTTAGGAGTGGAGATGCCCCTCTCCGTTTTCCAGACTCTCTGCATACCTAAGGTTACTGCCGGGGGGGATAAGACCCGGGGTAGGTACTACCTGACGTAATGGGGTTCCCACACTCCATTTGTGATCGATCTGCCGAGCTCCATCAAGGAATGGAAGAGCTCTTGGTGCTGGGCAGCGGGGCGATGGGACACAATGGAGGGGGACCCCCTGGCGCCTCTTACAGTCCCGGCGAAGTTTTCAACACTTAGTGAGTATAGTAGTTGATATTTTGTTTCTCTTCGGCCGGGCTTGTGTTTAACAGATGTTTCCTTTCGCAGGTTCCCTCCCTCGGTGCGAGCTATCGACAGAGGACTTCGACACTATCTGTATTATTTATCAGCTGCCTCAGAAGAAGAGGTCATATCACAGGCTGATTCGGAAAAACATACATTTCATCACTCACGACTTAATGGCGTCCCAAGGTAATAGGACCGAAGCCCACACTTTTTTAACCCGAACTCCCTATACTTGTATTAATTCCTCATTCATTTCTTTGCAGATAATTTCAACAAGAAGCTGCCAGTACGCCCCGACTTCAAAACCATTCAGAAAATGATGGCTGAAGCAAGGGCGCTGAAGGCCTCCTCCTCTTCGTATAAGAAGCAAATGGAGGAGCTAGTGGAGGCCAGTAAGAGACTTCAGCCTCCGACGGAGGATGAGATTAAGGAGGATCCGGAGGCTGACCTCCGAAGGAAGGGTAAGAAGAGTGCTGCCCCTCCCAGACGCCCAACTGTGGCGAGGCCACCCCCAGTTATACGGCAGACAACTATTCCCACGGGGGTGGCCCTCCCAGAGAGAAACCCCATTGCTACGGAGCCTGTCGCTGCCCCGGACACGGCGCCCCTTGCGACCGTACCTATTGAACACGTTCCGGGGCAGCAGAGGAGAAAAAGGGCCCGCTCTAGCAAAGAAGTTGACTTCCTCGGCACCAGTTCAGAAGAGCCAGTAAGGGAGGTGCTGGAGGCTCTCCCTCCGGAAACAGCTGTAGTGGCAGTGGCCCACAGCAAGTATTGGACCGAAGAGTGGAGGGACCACACCGCCTCCTGCACTGCTGAAGACTTGGTGGCGGCGAACAGCGCCTGCGTGGCCCGGGCACTAAGCACAAGTATCCAACTCGAGGGCTTGGTGAAGGATCTAAACTCCAAGAGGGAGGACCTCGCCAAGCGCCTCGAGGAGGCGATGCACTACGGGGACGCTGTGCGAGCTGCCCAGGCCAAAGCTGCCAAAGCAGAGGAGGGGAAGAGAGCTGCTGAGGTCCAGCTCGCTGCTTCGCAGGCGGAGGTGGAGCGGCTGAAAAAAGAGCTCTATGAGGTGGAGTGCCAGGTGGCTGTGGTGACTCGGCGGCTTGACCATGCTAACGAGCACCACAAGCTTACCACCGATGCCCTGGAGGCCTCCAACAGAGAAAAAGCGGAGCTGAAGCAGCAAGCAGAAGCCCAGTCAGTGGAGATTGCCTCTCTCAGGGAGGAGTTAAAGTCTGCAGGGGAGGTGGCGGTTCAAAATTTTATTGATCACTTCGAAGACCACCCCCTCTATGACGACTTTGCCAACTTCTGGGCCTCGTGGAGCCCCCAAAGCCTACTGGGTCGGCTGAAGGAGGTGCACCCTACACTGGACATCTCTCAACTAGAGGCAGAGTTCGGGGGACCCACTGGAGGTCGGCCTGACAAGGTTACAGAGGGGGTTCCAGAGGCCCAGGAGGCGGCCAGTGCTGAAATTCCTCCCACAGATTAGGGTTTCCTTTGTAATGGCTTCGGCCTTCCATGTATTTCAATTTCATGAAATGGGAAATTTTGTTAAATTTCTGCGAAGTTCTTTTGCTTCTGCTTCCTTGTATCCCTTTTTGTTTTATACTTGTATGAATGACAAACATTAGGCCAACTGCCTCGTAA